CTTCTTTGTGTTTAACAAACCTGCCACGCAAGGCTAAAAAAGGAGCAATACCCACCATATTCATATAAATTAAAACATGATAGAGTACCGCCATAGAAGCAAATCAAAACAAAAGCAATTGTTCATTGCGTTTAATTTGTGCGCTATGCTACCCACTAATCCACCAGCAACTCCCTTTTATATAGGCCAGTCATTTATTGAGAAGTAATGATTCTGGATTTCTAGAGAAGCTCTAGAGTCGTCTTTTTTATATTTTCAATATAAAACGCTGCATGCATTTAAATAGTTCCTAGGATTTAAATACGCCGTATTAATTGATTTTGTCCAGTTTTCAGTTCCCAAGCAATAATCATATCAATTTTATTGAGTTGCGACGGTAGAACTATAGCAATAACTTTTTACACCCCAAAGTGCTACAGTGTTCCCTCCAAAAGTTTCCTCCTAACTATTTTGTTTTTATATATATATAGATATATAGATTAGTTCATTAGCATTCTTGTTACATTTTTCATTATACTACTTAATTAGTTAATTAGTATTCTTGTTACACTAGTCTTTTACCCGTGCGTTGCACAGGGTGACGTAATAAAAAAAATTATCTAAGAAGTTGTCGAATAGATTCAAGGTGTACGAAATTGCACATAAATGATTTCCATTGTTCACTTTATTTCAAATTATCATACTTAAGCCTGAGCAAACATCAATCATTCTAACATCCTAGCATACTACACATACACATCCAAAGTGGTAGAACTCCACATACACCTTCATGTTCAAATTAACTCTCAAGAAAGCAAATGCTCAAGCAATGACCGAGTGTGAGACCTGTCTTCTCTCGCGAATAGAAATCGATTAAACTTAGCTCAATTTAACATGTAGTCTTTCTATTTAAAACACTTACTCGTAGCATATATATGTCAGTGCCTAGAGTCGTCGTATTCATAGCATCACAATTGATTATTCACGCATAGTTTGCCGTCCCCAATTCAAGAATGGGGAAAAGATAGTCACAGATTTGTATGTAAATTTGCATGAAACTCCTCTGATGATTTCATTTGATTGAAGAAATAAAACATTATCACATATATCAAGTAAAGAAAATATGTAAATGCATATGATAACTTGTTATGAATACTTCGCTCAGAAGCCACTTAGTGATCTACTGAACTCATAGAAGCAAAATACACCTCTACTCTCTTTTTTTCTTTTGTTTTGAACTTCTGACAGTATAATGACTTGATAAAACAGAATAGGAAGCATGTAGCTAAGATGCGCGTACAAATCTGAGCTCGATTATGCATTTTCCGGTTGTCTGTGATAAATGATATCTAAGCTACCCTTCAATAAATTAAGAAAAAATAGATAAACGAAACTACCTTTCAAATAACTACCCTTCATAACAGTATTACACCTCCTTGACTTCTCCTGCCTTCTTCTCCTTCTCCTCCGCCAGGATCTCAAAACCGAAACCGGGAAGGTCTTGCCGATGCCGAGAGAACTCTTGAAGTAGATCTTCCCGGTGGGCGGATTGTCCACCGAGATCTTGCTGATGGTGACCCACAGCAGCATCTCCTTAGTGGTGTTGGGGTTGTATCCATGCCAACATCGATCCATGAGTCGGAGACATCACTCATCTTCAAATTTCTCTTACCTTTTCCTAGATTCTTCTCAACAAGTTCACAAATTTACTGCTCCTCCTTCACCTCATATACCCTAACATCTCAAAAAAGAGTTCCAAAATCATGAAAAATGGGTCCCATTCTCATGATAGTAATGAAGATCTAGTCATGAAAATTCAAAGCACATTTGTGAACACACACTCAAAATTAATGTTTCTGATGATAAATGCTTTTTGTTCACCACACTTTTTCAGCTTACTAATTTTAGAGAAGAAAAAAACAGGCAGGCTCCACTATGTACCAGGCGTGATTTTTTAACCAGCTTTGTATTCTGCTTCAGGTAAATGGGTGCTTTGGGAAAATTACCCATGATATTTGCATTATGATGGAATTAAACATATTCGGGTCAAGTGGTTAACATGCTAAGAATACCGGTAGGTTCAATTATTTCTATATTTATTTTCTAAGAAAGGGAAGCTCTATTTGAAGCCTTTGTCCTAAAATGTGGTCTTGAACTGTTAGTGCAATTATGTCATTTAATAACAATCATCATAGTAATTAAAACGGATGCACTCTGTACAGAGTAGTATGTATTAGTGTATTACACTAAAACTGCACTTTTACGCATTTCCAAATCATAGCCCATAGGGAAAGAATGAAATTGCACTTTTGACATCAAAGCCACCTAGCAAGGCAATGGAAATTCGTATTCAGGTTGCATAACAAAAGGCTAACTGCTTTATCATGCCAGTTTACCGATGGGAAGTAGTACAATTTGAAGTGAAAACTCAAATATTTTCACTCCTTAAACTAAAACTTTTTACCTCATCCTTTATTATACATTAAAGCATTAACGAAAAAAGTTTTATCACTTCTTGTATGTTCCTAACTCATATCATATATAGGAAAAAATCCACTTGTGATATACAAAAAGCCACACAACTTAATTAGTAATTATAATCTTAATATTCTCAAATAATAGCCCAAGATGAAAGAAATAAATTGCATTTTTACATCATAGCCATTGCCACATGATATCCATTTTCTTAGACTTCTGAACCCCTAGAATAGCAATTTATTATTTGCTATAAAAACGCAGTTGACTGTCAAAATAGAGGAGGTCAAATCTCCAACTTATCATACTGAAATAGAACAAACTACATTGTGTATTATAATAATTGTTAAAAAAGAAAGCCCTCTGATTCTGACAAAAAAACTTTAAATTTGAAAGAAAAACACTGCATCTGCAGTATGTATTATACTAACAAAACTGCATTTTTCACTACTAATAGTCTTAGTGCATAAAGTCTTATGTAGCTACTACATTCCAACTAATTAGCTAGGTTAATCCATGTCTATTGAACACATATATCCATCTAATATAAAGGCTCCTAACAGTTTTCAGTTCCGCATAATTCATAACAAACACATAAATAAGAGACAAAAAGTCAAGAAGGATCATTAGCTATTCACAATGGTGATTGTTTCTCAAACTCACTCTTGTTTCTATCAGTTGCACACTTGCACCTTTTTTCCAGGGAGTCCAAGAGTAACATAGTAGATAGTGCTGAAAATATGAGAAAGTTTGGGAAAGAAGATGAAATGGAAAAAAGACATACAAATTATTGAATCAAAATTATGTACTATGCTAGACAACTGCTCAAAGCAAGAACATAACTCTTAATTTTCCTATCGTAACTGGTATCTTCTTTTGAAACTAAAGTTTCTGGTTCTTGTTTGCTCACTGTATGCGTGCTTTAGTGTATTCTAAGATGACATAAATTAGTTATTGGCACATTCACTAAGACTCTTATGGAAATATGAAAACGACATCTTTTACCTATTAGTTTAGAAAGAAAACGAAAAGGGAAAAAAAGAAATAAAAAGTAGGAAAAAGATGAAATAACTAAGATAAATGGGATGAAAAGGATGACACTGGCTACTACCAGAACAAAGATGACAACACCAATTATGTGTATCATACTTCAATTCATAATTAAAAACATTCATGATCAAGCTCATTGTGAAAATATGCCAATTAGCCAACTTTATTTGATGACGTTATATTTATGATTTACCTTGTGCATTCTAAAATTGTTATTCACCACTGTGTAAACTCCTTAGAGTCAAAGAGTTGAGAAGAAAATGTATTGCTAGATCTGGAATTATAATAAGTTAGAAAAAATAATCACCTCTAGAGATGAAACTCGATAGCCTTTGAGTATTTTTGATAAATGAAAGCTGTAGAAATTGAGAAAAGGAATAGGAATATGAGCGTATTGGAAAGAAGCCAGAAGAAACTTGGGAGGCGTTTACTTCGCTGCTAAAGTCACAGTTAGGTTAGTAAGACAGGTGAAGTAAACACGCACACTGCTTAAAAAGCCGCTTACTAACCGAAAGAGGTGCTTAAAGTGCCGCTTATTAAGCATACCACCCCCCATGTATTAATTAAGCGGCACTTTAAGCTTTTTCAGTTTCCGAATTTACCCCTTGCCCTTAACCTATTGTTATCCCTGCCCCACCTCACCCCAACCCCACCTCACCCCTTACCCCACCTACCCTACCCCACCCCGACCCTACCCTACCTAACCGACCCCCACCCTACCCTTACCTACCCCTACCTACCCGACCCCCCTACCACTACCCCGACCCCACCCTACCCCTACCTTACCTGTCCGACCCCACCTTACACGTACCCCACCTTACCCCTACCCCATTACCAGACACCCCTACCCTACCTAACCGACCCCCACCCTACCCTTACCCCCACCTACACTACCCTTACCCCCGACCCCACCCCTACCCTTACCCCGACCCCACCCTTACCCCACCTACCCTACCCCTACCCCAACCCAACCCTACCCCATCCTACCCCTACCCGACCCCACCCTACCATTACCCTACCTACCCCACCCCTTACCCACATACCCGACCCCACCCTACCCTATCTGACCCTACCCCTACCCTACCCCCTACCCCGCCTCAACCCCCACCCTACCTACCCGAACCCACCTTACCACTACCCTACCCACCCGAACCCACCCTACCACTACCCTACCTACCCAACCCCACCCCTACCCTACCTACCCGACCCACCCTACCACTACCTGACCTCAATCACCCCACCTACCCCACCCCACCCTATACCCCTTACCCCACCCCTTACCCCACTATACCTAGGGTGGTGGGGTCAGGGTGGGGCCGATGTGATAGAGGCGCTAGGGGCAGGGTAGGTGTGGTGGGGTAGGGGGTGGGTCGGGTAGGGTAGGGGTAGGGGCGGGGTTGGGGTAAGGTAGGGTAAGGTGGGGTCGATGTGGTAAGGGCCTATGGGGGGGGCTATTGTAACACCCCCATTTTTCCCACCAAAATAAAATAACATTTTGAAATGAAAACATCTTTATTATAAAATATATTTAGAGTACAGCGGAAGTCTTTAATGGAAAAACAGGTGTGTCACCGCCACACTCAACCTATACATGATTGAGTGCACAGGCTATCCACCATAAATTCAAGTAGCCATCGGGTAAAACTTATAACAAGTTTATGGATTACAAATTTAAACAATAACAATTAATCAAACGTGTGCAACTAGCGGAACACTCGGGCAGCAAGTACATCAATCTTCATAATCATAATCATCTGTACAATAGAGCAAAGAGAAAAAGAGAAAAAGAGACAAAAATTAGCTTTAGAGCTAAGTAAGATTCCACCCGAACCCGTAAAATAATATAATTTGGAAAATAGGTTTTTGTATATGTATATATATTGAAAAGTAGTCTCTCATATTTTCAAAATGGTTTAATGTCATAAAATAATTTCCACAATAGATAAGATCATCCTTCAATTCTTCCAAAAGTAATACTTTAGATTCTTTTAAGAGTGGGCGAAACTCAAGATTCCTCGAGCCCAATGAGTCGTTGTTATCTACGACTCATCCCGGAATTCCGGCTCCCACCGACCACCAATTGGAAGCTGAATTTCTACCTTAAGTGTGCACACCCTCTAAAAGGGATTCCAAGCCCTCCGAGTAGTAAGAAACCCAAGTAGGCAGGATGTTTTCTACCGCCTACTCACAAGGGACATTGTCCAAGGGTAAATTAGGTAACTACTACTACGACCACCAAAGGATCTTTGATCCTCAAATAAAAGCCCGGGATGTCTACCGGAGTATGTCATTGCCGGACTGGTTACCGACCCAAATAAATTTCACCAAAAGTAGTAGTAGCCCTAACCACCCACGCCTCGTGTTTCTCTCGAGACGTAAGAATATATATTATGAAAACTTTAAGTTTTCCCCAAATCATTCTTGTCACATTTTCTCAAAATATCCTTTGGAATAAATATAAATCCACCAATATTCTTTAATAAAAAGAATATACATTTAATCATCCATAAAAGGTAATGATCCACCAATATTCATATAGTCAAAATATTCGATCCATGTCAAACATATAATTTCCAATTCATAAATAATTCACATAGTGCAAATATTGCATACATATAAGTACGAGGCAAAACATTTTGGTTGACATAGAACTTACCTTAAATTGTGATAATCTCCTTAATAAAATCTCTAGCTTGATCTTCACTTGAATTCTCCTTCTAATATTGATCAAAATTCTAAATCAATAACTATTCTATTATTTCGTTATTTCTTTTATATCCAACCTTTAATTACTTTAACTTCATAATTCCTTCTTTAAATATAAATATTAAATTAATAAATCTTACTAACTGTTTATTTCCAGTTCATTCTTATTATTTTCTTTAATTATAATAACCCAACTCGGTTTTTCTTAATTTGTTTGGTTAAATAGTTAACTAGTCCAATTATATTAACTACATAATAATTTCATTATTTCGAATTTAAATAATCAATTTCAGTTCAAAATTCAGTTTACATAATTTATATAATTTATTTAATAACCCTTTTAATAATAACTTGACTTAGGCAGTAATTCGAAATAATAATCATTAATGATAATCTAATCTCAATAACAACTTTAATTAGTTCAATAGTTTATTTATACTAACTAACCCAATTAAATTAATTTATCCAATCCTCCAGTTTTATTTATTTGACTCACTAATTTAATTGAACTAACTAAATCAAATAAATAAGTTTAATTATATCAATATAGCTAAATACGTTAATCTAATTCAATTAAGTCCAATAACCAAATTCTAATCTCGTTTTAATTTTCTATTTTTAATATAAATTCCAGAAATGTTATCAAGTCTATAAATTAACTAATTTATCCATTAAACTAATTGATTTAGTTAAACTAGTCCAATGAAGTCAATTAACTAACTTATTAAGTACACATTACTTAATTAATTTGTTTATATTCATCAACTAATTTTTATGAGTTCAAATAGTTTAATAATTTATATGGAGTCCAAATCACTAATAATCAAGGGTAATAATTATTAATTTAATCACGCTAATTTAATATCAAAATTTCCTTATTTAATTACTTAACTAGTTTATATGGCTCAATTAAATTAAATAACTTAATCATCACTTTTATAAATTACTAATCATCCATAACTATAGTTTGGGTCTATACTTGACCTAGGTTGTCCAGATATTTATTTTAGAATTATTTCCTTTATTTATTCACTTAATTTCATATATCTATTAACCGGTTTAATTACAATTAAATATGCTAATTATAATTTTTATTAATTATAAATGGTCCCAAATGTCCTAGTTAGTCATATATTTAATCTAGCTTGCTCCCATATTTATTTCATAATTATTTTCGTCATTTAGTTAATTATTTACTAAATGTGTACAACTTGGCCCAATTACAATTAAATCAATTAAAAATAGCTACAAATATTATTTTTCAATTATTCTTGGTCCGAATATGTATTTTTATACCAGGTATTTAATTTATATTTTTCCAGATTTTATTTATTTCATTTACTATTTTATTTTTAATTTTTTATTGAAAACGGGCCGAACCGGCCCAAATTCGCGACCCGGCCCAAGAAGACTGGGTTGTCTCCTTCCCAGCTCTTCTCCAGGTCGCGATTCCGGCGACCGGAATCCCGAAAACTCCGGCGAGCGATAACTTTACTTACAGGTAACGGATTTCGACGATTCCAGTTGCAAAATGATCCTCACGTCAAGGAGAAGCTCCGCCACCCCTATCTACGGCAAAATCGTGTCTTTTCTGAAGACCCGTTTCCACGGCTTGCAACTCCGGCGACCTCTAGGATGCTCCGGTGACTACGAATCGGTCTGGAATTTATTGGGAAGTATTCCTAGACCTCTCACGACCCTCCTCTCTTGTTTATAGGCAATTTCTTACGTAAATTTATATATGTGTATTTTTCCGGCGAGTAAGTATATATATATATTCTCTACTCGTTTTCTTCACTTTGTGGTGATTTAGAATGGGAAGGAAGCTGTATTTATAGCTGTAGATCGATCATTCTAGGCTGAATCATACATGGAGTGATTGGTTTGAATTATTTCTTCATTATTATTCAATATTATTATACATAGTATTATGAACATGCATGTGTAAATGTTGGTTGTTCTAATTCATTCTAAGTCTAGTCCGCAAGTTCATTGCATATATTATTACCTCTATTTGTATTATTGTGAACACCTATGTGTATGATTGTTATCCACAAGTTACATTTTATGTGTATATGTATATTATTACATGTTACAAAATGTCACTTATAATACTTTGATATTTATTTTTATTTACCTTGTCAGATATATTTTATCTGATTTATTTTTATTTTTATTTATTTTATTTTATTTTTTTCCGATGCCACATAAGTGTTTAATTTTCATTGCATGTAGTGTGCGTATATTTTTATACACCAAGTATAAAAAAATATTTTGATCTTACTTTCATTTGATTTATCAGATATAACTTATCTGATTTATTTATTTATTTTTATTTCAAATTTTCAAGGTATCACATTCTACCCTCCTTAAAGAATGCTTCGTCCTCGAAGCATAAACTAAGACGCGAATTAAGTATGAAGATGAATTATTATAGGTTTATAAGATATGACAACCTGCCCCCCAAGAAAGGTTACGTCCTCGTAACCGAATATTTACCTTAATTGAAAAGTTCAGGATACCGTTTACGCATATCCTCTTCTGTCTCCCATGTTGCATTCTCGGTCAAATGGTTTGACCAAAGTACTTTTACCATCTTAACTGTCTTCTTCCTTGTCTCTCGGGTCTTAGTATCGAGAATCTCTATGGGTTTTTCTTCGTAGGATAATGTCTCATCCATTTCAATCACCTAATAATATAACGGTTAACTTATATTCTTTTCAATTTACGTTTGGCTCATGTTAAGTCTAGGATTTCTTACCTCCGGATTGATGATATGTGACTCATCTCGAACATACTTCTTTAATTGTGATACGTGAAAGACGTTATGTACCTAGCATATATCGGTATGTTAAGAATGTATTTTAATCGTAGAGAAGTATTTGATTTCAAATCGGTTGTTACCTTATCCAACTCCGTGGGTAGAGCTAATCGATATGCCACTTTTCCCACCTTCTCTAGGATGTCATAGGGTCCGATGAATCTCGGACTTAGTTTCCCTTTCTTCCCGAACCTCATTACGCCTCTTGTAGGAGAGACTTTGAGTAGAACTTTCTCCCCTAGTTCGAATTCAGCTGGTTTTCTCCCAAGATCGGCATATGATTTCTGTCGGTCTTGGGCAGCCTTCATCCTTTCTTGGATGACCTTGATTTTCTCAATAGTATCTTGCAAGTATTGTGGTCCTAGAACCACCTGATCGACCATGTCACCCCAACATAAGGGACTCCTACACTTTTGACCATATAGAGCTTCGTATGGGGCCATTCTGATGCTAGCATGGTAACTGTTATTGTACGAAAACTCTACCAAGTCTAGGTGTTCATCCCATGATCCTTGCAAATCAAGAACACATGCCCTCAACATGTCTTCTAATGTTTGGATTGTTCTTTCGGTCTGTCCGTCCGTGGTTGGATGGAAAGCAGTACTTAACTTCAATTTTGTTCCCATAGCCGTTTGTAATTCTTTCCAAAATTGGGATAAGAATCGTGAATCTCGGTCTGATACGATGTCTTGAGGTACTCCGTGGTGTTTGACCACGTGTTTGACATAGGCTTTTGCCAGTTTCTCCATGCTCCAGGTTTCATTCATAGGAATGAACCTTGCAGTTTTGGTCAATCTATCCACTACCACCCAAATTTTATCTTTCCCGGACTTGGTTAAAGGTAAACCCCCGACAAAGTCCATTGAGATTGAATCCCATTTCCATGTTGGTACTTCCAAGGGTTGCACGAGTCCCTTGGGTTTGCATCTCTCCGCTTTGACTTTTTGGCAGTTCAAACATCGGGATACAAATTCAGCTACTTCTTTCTTCATTCCCGGCCACCAAAAGTTCTGTTTGAGGTCTTTGTATAGTTTGTCTCCCCCGGGATGTACCGAGTAGGGCGTGTTGTGTCCCTCCTCCATGATTTGTTTTTTAATATCTGCACACTTCAGTGGAACACACCACCTTCCCTTGTATCGGATGCTCCCATCTTCATGTACCTTAAATGGTCCGTTGACGCCATCTTTCATTCCTTCCTTGATTCTTTCGAGCTTTACATCTCCCGGTTGTCCGTTCTTGATTTCGTCAAAGATAGATGGTATAACAGTCATAGAACATAACTGTATTTCACCATCTACTTCGCCATATTGCTTTACTTCCAAGCTCAATCTTTGGAAGTCTCGGAATAGTTCTTCTGGTAATATCCATGTTGCTCGGCATGAGTGCTCAGATTTCCGGCTCAAAGCATCCGCCACCACGTTAGCTTTTCCCTCGTGGTATTGGATTTCTAGATCGTAATCATTGATAAGCTCGAGCCATCTTCTTTGCCTCATGTTAAGCTCTTTTTGAGTGAATATGTACTTCAAGCTTTTGTGGTCAGTGTATATCTTACAATGTGCTCCGTATAGGTAATGTCTCCAGATTTTCAAAGCAAACACTACTGCAGCTAACTCCAGGTCATGGGTAGGATAATTGACTTCATGCACCTTTAGTTGTCTTGATGCATAAGCCACCACTTTCCTATTTTGCATTAGCACACACCCCAACCCCTTCTTGGATGCATCACTATAGATATCAAATCCCTCCGTCCCTGACGGTAGTGTCAAGACCGGCGCAGTTGTGAGTCTTTTCTTCAACTCTTGGAATGCTGCTTCACAATCTTCATTCCATTGGAACTTGGTTGTCTTCTTTGTCAGGTTGGTTAGCGGTCTTGCTATCTTGGAGAAATCTTTAACAAATCTCCTATAGTATCCCGCTAGACCCAAGAAACTTCTTACCTCTGTGACCGAGGTAGGTGCACGCCATTCAACCACCGCTTCAATCTTCGATGGATCTACGGATACCCCTTCCTGGGTGATGATGTGACCCAAGAACGCTACCCGATCCTGCCAGAAGTCACACTTTGAGAGTTTGGCATACAACTGGTTCTCTCTCAAAGTTTGTAACGTGAGTCTCAAGTGTTTCTCGTGATCTTCCGGGGTTTTTGAATACACAAGAATATCATCGATGAATACCACCACAAATGTATCAAGATAAGGTCGGAATACACGGTTCATTAGGTCCATGAATACCGCCGGTGCATTTGTTAAACCAAACGGCATCACAGTGAACTCGTAGTGTCCATACCTCGTGCGGAATGCTGTTTTTGGTACATCTTTTTCGGATATTCTCACTTGATGATATCCAGAGCGCAAGTCTATTTTAGAGAATGTGCTAGCCCCCTTCAATTGATCAAACAAGTCGTCAATTCGGGGCAATGGATACTTGTTCTTGATAGTTGCTTGATTCAACTCTCGGTAATCGATGCATAGCCTTAGACTCCCATCTTTCTTTTTGACAAATAAGACCGGAGCGCCCCAAGGTGAGACACTCGGTCTTATGTACCCCTTCTCTAACAACTCCTCTAGTTGTTCCTTCAGCTCCTGCATTTCTTTCGGTGCCATCCGGTAAGGTGCTTTTGAAATTGGCGCGGTTCCGGGCATCAACTCAATTGAGAATTCAACTTCTCTCTCGGGTGGCATCCCTGGAATCTCTTCCGGAAATACATCCGGAAATTCATTGACTACGGCAATTTGGTCAATGTTTGGCTCCCCTGTATTCACCTCTTTCATAAAGCACAGGTATGTTTCATACCCCTTTCGGATATGTCGCCTTAATTGTTGCATAGTCATCAGCCTCATACTAGGCTTGGATGTGATTGCTTTGTAAGATATTCGCTTCCCATTTGGACCCTTCAAGATCACCTTCTGTTCATCACAGAGGATCCTGACTTTGTATTTCCCCAACCAATCCATGCCCAGCACTATGTCTATATCTTTTAAGTCAAATTGGATTAAATCTCCAGGTAGGTTGGATTCGGATATGAGTATGGAAATGTTGGAGTATACATTTCCACAAGTTACGAATTTATCTGAGGCAGTTCTTACATTCAAGTCTATTCTAGCCGTTGGTTCAATCTTCAATTTCTTAACGAAACTAGAAGATATGAAACTGTGAGAAGCACCAGAATCAAATAGAACATAAGCAGGCTCAGAATTTACAAGGAATGTACCTGAAACCACATCATTAGCATTGGCTTGGGCCTGATTCATCACCATGATTCGCCCTTGGTTCGGACGGTTGCCGTTGTTTCCGCCGTTGCCATTGTTCCCGCCATTGCCATTGCCACGATTATTCTCCCCTCCTCCTCGAGGGTTGCGGTTGTTGTTGTTGGCGGCGGTATTGTTGTTGTTATTTTGTCCTCCATTTGGCCCAGCTTGGTTCATATCTGGCCTTCCTCCATCACGGTATTGCACCTGGTGCACTGGTGCCCCATTGGTCTTTGAGAGACACTCGAAGGTTCGGTGCCCTAGCTTCCCACAATTGAAACATTTTGTCAGGCTTCCATCGCAATTAACACCAGGATGATCTCTCCCGCACCTCTTGCAGTAGAAGTGTCTATCTCTGGGAGCAACTCTTCGATCATTTTGTTGGTTTTGACCATGGAAATTTCTTCCACCTTGGTCATCTCTCCTCCTCCTCCCTTCTTGTTGCTGTGTAGGTGGGTGCACTCTGACCCTCTTTTCTCCTCGACCTCCATCTTCGTCCCTCTTCATCTTCTGGTTCCTCTCTCTTTGTAGTTGCTGAACTCGATAGTGAACTGCAACTCTATCATAAGCGTCAGTCAGAGTTTGGCAACCCAAAACAGCGACGATTTTCTGCGTATCATAGTTTAATCCGTAGATAAATTTCTCAACTTTGGTGCTTTCATCAGGCACTATTGTTTTCGCAAATGGCGCGAGGTCCACGAATTTATTGTGATATTCCTGGACACTCATGCCCATCTGTTTCAAATGTATGAATTCATCACGCATGGTGGCCTGAACGTGTGCAGGATAAAAACGTTTCCTCATGGCAATCTTGAAAGCTTCCCAATTGAAGTCAGGTTGTTGACGTAAAGTTGGGCCTGATGAGACCCACCAGTTATCTGCCTCTTGCTGTAAATAGTAAACAGCAATGTCAACCCTTTGCTCTTCCGGACAGCTCACCGCGTCGAAGAGTTTGTCAAAGAGTCGGAGCCAATTCTCGAGGATACGAGGATCTTCTTGCCCATGAAAGCTTGGAGGGTTGCGAGATGCCACTCGTTTTGCGGCATCATTCCCGTTGTTCTGGTTTTGGTTGTTCTGGAGCACAGTAGCACCCAATGTGTGCATAAATTGTGCCAGTTGTTGAACGCTTTGTGCCAACTCAGCATTGGTGGGCGTGTTATCGGGGTCTCTTCTCGGTGCCATGATATCTTAATGACATAAAGTATTCTTGTAAGAATTTCTATATTTTACTCCTAAGGATCCTAGTTCAACTAAGGATTCCATAGGCTATGCAACATGATCATATAAAAGTGTACATAACAATCATACAGAGGATTCATACTTCAGATAAAAGCACTTTCACACATAATGTTTGTACATACCTTAGCCACTTCGGAATTTTGCCTTATGAGGCATTCCCATTTTATCATTTGGGGTTCCCATTTCTCAAATGGGCCCACAATTAGCATAATTATCACATACATGATACATGTAAGGAAAATAAATACTCACAAGGTCCTCACCACGTTCCTAAAAGGCCATTTCCTAGCTATATTATCCTTCCTAGTCTTAAAAATATTTGAAAATCTCCCTTTTGAAGGTACAATTTCAAATGTTTCCTTCAATGATTTTGAACAACGAAGTTTCAGCACAAGGAGAAATTCCCAGGTAGTTGGACGAGCGCAAAGGCTCAATTAAGAACCAACAGCCTTAGACTCTTATCGTCTTGGTGACAGAATTTCTCCATACAACCTATTACCTCGTGTTCAAATCCTTTAGGAAAACCTAAGGCCCTGATACCAACTTGTAACACCCCCATTTTTCCCACCAAAATAAAATAACATTTTGAAATGAAAACATCTTTATTATAAAATATATTTAGAGTACAGCGGAAGTCTTTAATGGAAAAACAGGTGTGTCACCGCCACACTCAACCTATACATGATTGAGTGCACAGGCTATCCACCATAAATTCAAGTAGCCATCGGGTAAAACTTATAACAAGTTTATGGATTACAAATTTAAACAATAACAATTAATCAAACGTGTGCAACTAGCGGAACACTCGGGCAGCAAGTACATCAATCTTCATAATCATAATCATCTGTACAATAGAGCAAAGAGAAAAAGAGAAAAAGAGACAAAAATTAGCTTTAGAGCTAAGTAAGATTCCACCCGAACCCGTAAAATAATATAATTTGGAAAATAGGTTTTTGTATATGTATATATATTGAAAAGTAGTCTCTCATATTTTCAAAATGGTTTAATGTCATAAAATAATTTCCACAATAGATAAGATCATCCTTCAATTCTTCCAAAAGTAATACTTTAGATTCTTTTAAGAGTGGGCGAAACTCAAGATTCCTCGAGCCCAATGAGTCGTTGTTATCTACGACTCATCCCGGAATTCCGGCTCCCACTGACCACCAATTGGAAGCTGAATTTCTACCTTAAGTGTGCACACCCTCTAAAAGGGATTCCAAGCCCTCCGAGTAGTAAGAAACCCAAGTAGGCAGGATGTTTTCTACCGCCTACTCACAAGGGACATTGTCCAAGGGTAAATTAGGTAACTACTACTACGACCACCAAAGGATCTTTGATCCTCAAATAAAAGCCCGGGATGTCTACCGGAGTATGTCATTGCCGGACTGGTTACCGACCCAAATAAATTTCACCAAAAGTAGTAGTAGCCCTAACCACCCACGCCTCGTGTTTCTCTCGAGACGTAAGAATATATATTATGAAAACTTTAAGTTTTCCCCAAATCATTCTTGTCACATTTTCTCAAAATATCCTTTGGAATAAATATAAATCCACCAATATTCTTTAATAAAAAGAATATACATTTAATCATCCATAAAAGGTAATGATCCACCAATATTCATATAGTCAAAATATTCGATCCATGTCAAACATATAATTTCCAATTCATAAATAATTCACATAGTGCAAATATTGCATACATATAAGTACGAGGCAAAACATTTTGGTTGACATAGAACTTACCTTAAATTGTGATAATCTCCTTAATAAAATCTCTAGCTTGATCTTCACTTGAATTCTCCTTCTAATATTGATCAAAATTCTAAATCAATAACTATTCTATTATTTCGTTATTTCTTTTATATCCAACCTTTAATTACTTTAACTTCATAATTCCTTCTTTAAATATAAATATTAAATTAATAAATCTTACTAACTGTTTATTTCCAGTTCATTCTTATTATTTTCTTTAATTATAATAACCCAACTCGGTTTTTCTTAATTTGTTTGGTTAAATAGTTAACTAGTCCAATTATATTAACTACATAATAATTTCATTATTTCGAATTTAAATAATCAATTTCAGTTCAAAATTCAGTTTACATAATTTATATAATTTATTTAATAACCCTTTTAATAATAACTTGACTTAGGCAGTAATTCGAAATAATAATCATTAATGATAATCTAATCTCAATAACAACTTTAATTAGTTCAATAGTTTATTTATACTAACTAACCCAATTAAATTAATTTATCCAATCCTCCAGTTTTATTTATTTGACTCACTAATTTAATTGAACTAACTAAATCAAATAAATAAGTTTAATTATATCAATATAGCTAAATACGTTAATCTAATTCAATTAAGTCCAATAACCAAATTCTAATCTCGTTTTAATTTTCTATTTTTAATATAAATTCCAGAAATGTTATCAAGTCTATAAATTAACTAATTTATCCATTAAACTAATTGATTTAGTTAAACTAGTCCAATGAAGTCAATTAACTAACTTATTAAGTACACATTACTTAATTAATTTGTTTATATTCATCAACTAATTTTTATGAGTTCAAATAGTTTAATAATTTATATGGAGTCCAAATCACTAATAATCAAGGGTAATAATTATTAATTTAATCACGCTAATTTAATATCAAAATTTCCTTATTTAATTACTTAACTAGTTTATATGGCTCAATTAAATTAAATAACTTAATCATCACTTTTATAAATTACTAATCATCCATAACTATAGTTTGGGTCTATACTTGACCTAGGTTGTCCAGATATTTATTTTAGAATTATTTCCTTTATTTATTCACTTAATTTCATATATCTATTAACCGGTTTAATTACAATTAAATATGCTAATTATAATTTTTATTAATTATAAATGGTCCCAAATGTCCTAGTTAGTCATATATTTAATCTAGCTTGCTCCCATATTTATTTCATAATTATTTTCGTCATTTAGTTAATTATTTACTAAATGTGTACAACTTGGCCCAATTACAATTAAATCAATTAAAAATAGCTACAAATATTATTTTTCAATTATTCTTGGTCCGAATATGTATTTTTATACCAGGTATTTAATTTATATTTTTCCAGATTTTATTTATTTCATTTACTATTTTATTTTTAATTTTTTATTGAAAACGGGCCGAACCGGCCCAAATTCGCGACCCGGCCCAAGAAGACTGGGTTGTCTCCTTCCCAGCTCTTCTCCAGGTCGCGATTCCGGCGACCGGAATCCCGAAAACTCCGGCGAGCGATAACTTTACTTACAGGTAACGGATTTCGACGATTCCAGTTGCAAAATGATCCTCACGTCAAGGAGAAGCTCCGCCACCCCTATCTACGGCAAAATCGTGTCTTTTCTGAAGACCCGTTTCCACGGCTTGCAACTCCGGCGACCTCTAGGATGCTCCGGTGACTACGAATCGGTCTGGAATTTATTGGGAAGTATTCCTAGACCTCTCACGACCCTCCTCTCTTGTTTATAGGCAATTTCTTACGTAAATTTATATATGTGTATTTTTCCGGCGAGTAAGTATATATATATATTCTCTACTCGTTTTCTTCACTTTGTGGTGATTTAGAATGGGAAGGAAGCTGTATTTATAGCTGTAGATCGATCATTCTAGGCTGAATCATACATGGAGTGATTGGTTTGAATTATTTCTTCATTATTATTCAATATTATTATACATAGTATTATGAACATGCATGTGTAAATGTTGGTTGTTCTAATTCATTCTAAGTCTAGTCCGCAAGTTCATTGCATATATTATTACCTCTATTTGTATTATTGTGAACACCTATGTGTATGATTGTTATCCACAAGTTACATTTTATGTGTATATGTATATTATTACATGTTACAAAATGTCACTTATAATACTTTGATATTTATTTTTATTTACCTTGTCAGATATATTTTATCTGATTTATTTTTATTTTTATTTATTTTATTTTATTTTTTTCCGATGCCACATAAGTGTTTAATTTTCATTGCATGTAGTGTGCGTATATTTTTATACACCAAGTATAAAAAAATATTTTGATCTTACTTTCATTTGATTTATCAGATATAACTTATCTGATTTATTTATTTATTTTTATTTCAAATTTTCAAGGTATCACAGCTATGGGGTCGGGGGTAGGGTTGCGGTAGGGTAGGGACAAGTTAGGGTGGGGTCGGGGTAAGGTAGGGTGGGTAAGGGGTTAGGGGTATGGGTACACATATTATATTATATACTTGTG